TAGATTTATATGTGGCAATCCATTTTTAGTCCTTTTTTTTTATTAGAACATCCTCATTTGGTCCTAGTATTATTGTGGCATGATCTTTCTTGGTCCCCGTCAACAAAATTGTTGAAATGATGTTAAATACAAGGACATTTCGATCTTTTTTCAAAAATCCATAATTGAAGACCAAAATGCCTTTGTATATATTTAACGATATTTAAATTGTTTTCTTAATAGAGGACTAAAAATGATCATCATGCCACAATAATACTATGATCAAAAGTTGATGTTCTAAAGGTCAGCTATAAATCTAGGACCAAAAATGGAATTAATTCTATTTCACTCACATTGAACATTTTTGAAAGCCAAATAACATTGGTGTATTATTGAATGAACATAGAAATAGAGTCAGGAGGGACAGAGTCCCAATACATAGACTGATCCTGATCGAAAGCTAACGAAGCTAAAGTATGAACATGTAAATTTAAAGTTCTAGAAATATAATTCAATGAACAGTGAGTAAATAACGATATAGACGTCATACATTGGTCAGCAATCACTCCAACATAGGACAAAGTAGTCGTAGAGCCTGAGTATATGGTATTCCGTAGTTCCACGCAATCCGTAAGAAGGTCTACCGCCAGTATATTGCGTTCCTTGAGCCATGAGAGAGCTTCCTTGCAAGCCAGTGCCTCTGCCATAAGGGGTGAGAAAGCACCGGGTAGTTTGCCACATTTTGCCGCCACAAACGATCCATCGTGACCTAACAACACAATTTCGTACGTGGCTTCTCCCGTGGGCTGTTTGTAGCCGGCATCGAAGAAGCATCTCGGCCTGGTGTGCGTCACGTTCGTCGGATATCAAGTCTAAAATATCACTCAAACTTTTGAATTTGTGATTAGTTTTATGATAATATAATTTTAAAAAGATGTATTCAAAAAAATATAATTTAAAAAAGATATTTAAAGCGGTCATTTTAAACAATATTTAAGTGGGTCCACTTTTGATATGGATCGGGTCAAAGTGGACTCCGTTTCTCTTAAGCAAAAGGTTTAATTTGATATATTATACACTCAAAACAAATAATTGGTGAATGAAAAGATGACACTACTACAAAAAAGGAATACAACGTCATCCAATCTATGTAGATTTTAGACTATCCCATGTAAAATGTCAATAAAATAAAGCAAATATTTTAAAAAACCGATTAAAACCGATGTAGAAAATATTTTTCAGCGTCAATTGTATGTAAAAACTGATGTAGAAAATATTTTTTAAAAATTCATTATACTATATCTGTCAGTTATTGTATTACCCGACGTGTACATCACTGCTGGAAATTATGGAATTTCCGACCACCTGAAAGATATCTTAAGTCAAGTCGAAAGTCTTGTTCCGACTACTTTTGGTATCCGGAAAAACTTTTGTTGCTATTTTCGACCACTTTTTGCTTTCAAATTGATTTAAGATCACTTTCAGGTGGTCAAAAATTTCATAATTTCCAGCAGTGTATGTGTGTATATCAGTTTAAGTTAAAATCGATGTCGTATATATATTTTAAAACTAGCTTAAACAATATACCCAAACCCCTTTCTATCCCTTTCAAAATTTCACTTCTTATTTTTCTTCCAAAGTTTCAAACTTTTCCAAAGCTTCCTACTACCCAACCCCCTTGTTGCCATCGATGTCACCAAGCCACAGCAAATATGTCGTTGCTACTCACTGAATCTTGATATGCTGTTGTAATAGTTTATAAGAATTTTATCTCAATTGTAGGTGGAAGTAGATTTTTGAATTTCGGACCAATTAGGAGGGAAGGATATTCGCATTCAAAAAAAAAAAAAGGAGGGAAGGATATTGATAATAGAGTAAATACTCAAAATGGTCCCCTCAACTACAGCTAAATTCACAAATTGATCCCTGACTTTCAATTTTAACCAATTAAGTCCTTAACTTTGTAATTTTAACACGATTTGGTCCTCCGTCTATTTGACCGTTTGTTGACCGTGATCTCTGAGGATATATATGTAATTTCACCACCGCCGCCCGCCCTCATTCGCTGTCGTGACACAGTCTATCGCCTAGCCGCCCTCATCTACTGCCATAACACACTCCACCACCTAGCCTTCACCTACTGCCACGACACAATCCACCGCCCAAACACCTTCGCATAATCCATCATTGCCGGCGCTACAACCCAATTTGCAATCTTCATTAGGTCCAACGCCACAAACAACTGCGTCTGAGTCTAATGGGCGGCGCCGCGATTCTCGTGTCCAACAAGAAGCGTGATTCGGTCGGGCCAAGTACTGGCTCATGCACGTGGTCCGCACGCACAAGGGCGACGACGATAAAGCCTACCACTGCATTTACGAGCAGGAAGATCCGCAAGGGAAAGTCGAAATCGACATCTCAAAAGACCTAATGGTGATCGCCGGTGAAGCCCTCAAATCCAACATAACCACAATCGGCCCGCTCGTTCTCCCATCGTCGGATCAGCTCCTCTTCCTCTTCACCCTAATCGACCGGAAAATCTTCAATCCCAAATGGAAACCCTACATTCCCAACTTCAAACAGGCCTTCGAACACTTCTGCATCCATGCCGGCGGCCGCGCCGTCATCGACGATCTCCAGAAGAACCTGCAGCTCTCGTCGAAGCACGTGGAGGCCTCCAGGATGACGATGCACCGGTTCGGAAACACGTCGTCTTCTTCACTCTGGTACGAACTCAACTACATTGAATCCAAACGGAGGATGAAGAAAGGCAACAGGATTTGGCAGATTGCTTTCAGCAGTGGATTCAAATGTAACAGTGCGGTCTGAAAATGAACCGGAACCTTAAAAAAACCGACGATGAACCATGAAATTACATATATATCCTCAAAAATCACAATCAACAAACGTTCAAATAGACGGAGGACTAAATCGTGTTAAAATTACAAAGTTAAGGACTTAATTGGTTAAAATTGAAAGTCGAAGATCAATTTGTGAATTTTGCCATAGTCGAGGGACCATTTTGGGTATTTAACTCTTGATAATATGAGGATGTCTTTTTCCTTTATTGCATTGCATGGATGGTGGATTTGGAAGCTTAATGTGCATTAATTTGAATATTGACTGCATTACCATAAAAAAGGTAAGAATTACAACTACCAAGTCTTAGGTGCATAAATTTAAACCTTAAGGTGCGTGAATTTACTTTTTAAGGTGTGCGATTTAAAGCTTAAGGTGTTACTTTGAATTACTACATCCAAGCCTTAGGTGTGTGAATTTAAAACTTAAGGTGCATCAATTTACTCTTTAAGGTGCATTGATTTAAAGCTTAAGGTGCATTGATTTAAATCTTAAGGTGCATCAATTTGAATTACTACTGCCAAACCTCAAGTGCATAAATTTAAAAATTAAGGTGTGTGAATTTACTATTTAAGGTGCCTGAATTTAAACCTTAAAGATTCATTACTCTGAATCATTAATGCCTTACAGTAAAAACTTGAAAATTACTACTGCCGAGCTTAAGGTGCGTGAATTAGTTTAAAGCTTAAAGTGCGTGGATTCAAAGCCGAAGGTGCATGGATTTAAAGTAAATTGCATAAATTAAACAATCAGTTGAGTACAAAGCACTACAGTAACACAACCACAAAAACATCTAGAAATAACTATAATCATAAACACCAAAAAAACCTAAAAACTATGATGATACAATCTTTTACTTAACCATAAGAATATTTTCATGATTAGGTGAAATTTACCTTGTTTAGACAATGTTCGTTGCTCTGGTTGGGGTACATTTTGTTTAGAAGTCATTAATCCTCTGTTCTAGTTAATCCTTCGTACCAAGTGTATTTTGATGATAGTGAGTGGTTGTAGATGGAAAAGAGACAATGACAGCAACTAGCAACGGAGGAGATCAATACACTTAACGCTATTTTCAAAACTTCGAAAACACACAAAGAGAATGCAACAATGGAGACTGCGTGGGAGAAAACAATGTAAAAGAGAATGCAACAATGGAGACTGAGTGGGAGAAAACGACATAGTGCAGAAGATTGCTTTGGATTTATTTTCCTTTTTTACCCCGCAGAGCCTAAACTGCCTTCCAAACCTCCGCCTCTCCAATTGCTTTGGAGTTTTTTTTTTTCTTTGGGTATATCTCTAGTTTTATTATTATTATTATTATTATTATTATTATTATTATTATTATTATTATCGAACTTTTTCCCTAGTTGGTATGATGGTATCATTTCAGGGCACTTGTGTGATTCCACACAATGAAAATGGAAGAGATAAATATGATTATTCTTTAACTGTGAGCAAACTTATAGGGAACAAGATATAGATTACATAATAAGACTATAAAAACTCACTTAGATTCAGAAAGTTTCTGCACTCCTTATAGTTATAAGGTACTTAACTCTATTCTACTACGGAGCATTATTTTTTATTGTTACGTTATTGTGTATTTGTGTTTTTTTACTTTCTATTGTGTATATGTTTCTTTATTCTGAAATAAGTATATGTAAAAACGGTCTGTCTAGCACTGTTGTAAAACTTTGTCTAGGCAGAAACAAAATAGGCAAAAGTTGCCATTTTAGGTTGCTTGTGAGTCCAAATAGTATTGTTTTATTTTCCTTATTCTTCTATTACTTTGATACTTTCTATGTGATTGCTAAATTCTAAGCATAGTACTTTTGGGCCCTGACTATCTCAAATTTTCAATCTATTTATTCTACCTTTTTCTTTTGCCGTGCCAAGGCAATGCAGAGTTAGGTCATTTTCGACCACTTTCAAGTGGTCAGAAATTGCTTGATTCCCAACAGTGGCTGCTTGGTCCTCCTTTGTCGACCCTCAAGTTACAAGGTAGAATTTACCTCGTACACACTCTTGAATAGTGACTATGGATTCCCCTCGTCACTCAAAAATGCTAGCAACGAAACTTCCCTAAAAAAGTGAGTGAGGAAACGAATGATTGACAACTCCACACACTAAAGTGCTGCATAAGGAATCAAGGACACCCATTGTTCCAAAAATCCACATGTTTATGATGAAACAATCCAAAATTCTTTAGCTCAGAAAACAAACATCCAATTCTTCTACAATGCTAACCCAAAACAAGTGGACACAACTTGTGAGAGTAGCATATTGAATGATGCATATATGATGCTTATTAGGCTCTAAAATGATATAGAAAGTAGCATATTGAATGGATGATGCTTATTAGGCTCTAAAATGATATAGAATTTGAATGCAATGATGCTAATGAAGCTAATTGCTGCTTCATCCTACTGAGACATCAAGCCGCGGATAAAAGCAAAAACCGGTGAAAATCTGGAGAGGATACTTCTTGTTCAATGGAAACCACGCCCACTTCCATTCTCTCGAGTTCATGTCAAACACGAGTGTGTTAGTCCCTCCATACGTGTGGATGTATATAGTGTCGCCACCACCACAGCTACCAAAAACATCGTCTAACTCTCCAAACGCGTGCAACATCTTTGGTAGAACACGCACAACTTCTTCCCACTCGGTCCCTTTGAGAACCCAAATGCCAATTCCAGTGATCACCCCGTGTCGACCAGGTATGCCAGTGCCTCCCACCATCACCAACTTATCCTGCACGTTCATTAGTCGCCCACAGGTGATAGTGAAAGGAATATTGATTATCGTGGTGTCTTCTGACTTGTCGTTAGATGGTAGAGGACCGAGATCATAAACCAATACGCCGTGCTGATCCCCTGGCAAAGCAGTGGTAGAAAGGACTAGCAAATATAACATCCCATTCAAAATGACACAGTCACCTCTTCCCTTCCAGTCCTGCAAAGTTTTCTTCTGGCAATTCCACATCGATGTTTCAGAAGAATAAACGTTTATCAACACATCATACCCCATCGATCTCACAACGCTAATAGTATATTGGCTCGAATTTGGTTCCACCGAGAACGCCAGGCCATGGTATTCAAAATTCTTTTCACCCAAAGGCAACACGAGTTTCTTGTACCTATTAGTCATCAGATTGCAAACAAGAAGATCACCTGCGCAATCTGTATCTATATAGCACACTAGACCATGTGAGGAAGCGATTTCACTGTCGTGCTTCACCTTAAACGGCAACTCAAAGTTATACCATTTGCTTACAACCGGGTTATAGAGAAAGCCAACAGGGTAATGAGGGATGTGAGGGTTGGCGGACATGAAGTACCAAGGTTTCTTCGAAAGGCCACCCGATATGTATTCTTGAAACCTTTTGGAAACCACAATTTCATTCCACAGTTTGCAAACAGAACGTGCTTTCAAGATGTTACGAAACGGAAGGAGGGTTAAAATTTGCTCTTGCAATTCAATAGGGAATATATCCATTGAAACGCTGCTTTCTTGGGCATCATCTTTGATAATTGTTTTATCGTTTTCACCTTCAACAAATTCATTATCTGATGACCAGGATGAATGTCCACCCATATGTAATTTTTGACACTCCTGAGAGATAGATATATAAGATCACAGAAGGAGGACAAAACTTAGTCACGTATACTATAGACATAAGAGATATTAAAGTTCATCTTTTAAGATTACTAAAGATTTCAAGCCCCTCTAAAGAATCCATAAGCAAATACAGAGTAATAGATATATAATGAAGAGCAGCAAGGTCCACGAGTTCGTATCCTAGCCTTCTTGGTATAAAACCGGTCAGTTATGAGCAACCTAGGCTGGTTTACGTACTTGTGATCCTTTGCTGCCTAGGGTCACAAGGCGGGGTTTACCAGTGCACACCCTCGGATAATGACTGTGAATTTCCTTCGTCACCCAAAGAGCAACAATTGTCATGGCTAGAATCACATAATTGCAAGATAGGCTTCTTAATGCATAAATAGTGCATATTAACCACTTGAGTATCAAGAACTAACAGATATGAAGCAATATATATATATATATATATATATATATATATATATATATATATATATGATTCTTCATCATAATCAAGAAATTAATCCAAATTGCAAGCTAATTAAGGAACAACAAGTATTTAACATAAAGAAGCAAATTCACAGTGTTAGAAGAATCATTAGCAAAAAAGATCACACCTTTGCTAGATTTGAAGCTACAGAATCATCTTCCCATCCACTGCTTTCACCATATGGGATTCTTCCCTATAAGCATTAACAACTTATAAAGAAGGGAAACAAAATATAGAAAACAAAGTAAATAATCAAAAAAACAACACAAACAATACCTTGGTTCTGTAAAAATAGTTATCCCATAGCCATGGGTTCTTCCTTCTGAGCCTAGCTCCTAATTCTCTCTGCGCACCAAGAAAAGGAAGAGGGAGATAAACTGTTTAACTGAAGAATCAGGGGTGGAGAGAAGAATATAATGCATGATAATATTACCTTGTCCATTTCTAAAGTAACATGCGATTTTAATCGATTATCTTTCTTCACAATCCAAAGTTCCTGTTCAATATTCAGAGGGTGAGAATATAATTAGATTCTACTAAAATCACAATTTCACATTACTCATTCTTAAATCAGCTTTCTGCGTCTGTTGTACAATAGACGCAGATACAACAGACGCAGATAATTATTATCTTTCTTTGTTCCCACAACTGATATCCATTTAGGCTTACCTTCTTTGTTCTTGAAGAAGTATTTGATCGTAAGTGATTATCTTTCTTTTCGATCCAATATCCCTATTCCATATTAAAGTGAGAAAAAATATCAATATAAAAATTGGCATTATTATCACTATTCTTTCTGGGCATTCCTCTCTATTCTTACAAATAACAAACGGATTGGAATTGAAGAAGCTAATCTTTTGATTTAAAACTAGAAAAACATTACAAACCCACATCTAAAATCTTAGAATTATAAAGCAAAGAAGAAGCAAATTCAAAGATGGAGGATTCTACAACATCATCATACCTTGTCATTTGAGTTGTGTTTAGTTGCCCATGAATAAATTCATGTTTTATGTTTGATATAACAACTAACCTTCTTGAGATTTGCTTCCATTTTTTTACGGGAGAAACCCGATAGCCCTGATTAGTTGTCTATCATCCTAGCTTCATCATCCAAATCTTCCATAAGAATAGGTATTTGAATTTAAAAGAGAGAAATCTATATCTCAAGTGTCTAATATAGTGGGCTGTATTTAGTAAGTATTTGTGCAAATAGGGAAAAATATATGTAGAAAAGGTAAACCAAGAATAACAGAAAGGAAATATTTATGTTACTCCGTTATTTTCAAATTTTGCTTTTAATATTATAATCCTGTTTTAGTATGAAATTTTCAAACTTACCTAAAATTTTCAGTTTTAATTACTTGATTATTTTGTCCAAGTATAGAATTGGTATTTAAACGAGAGAATTCTACATTTTTAAGTGCCTAATATAGACCAGGACTATGTGGTCTAATGGTACCCGGGTTGAACTTCCATTTGGAATGTTGTAAGTTTGAGCCTCAATGGAAGTAGGTTGAGAAAGTATATGAACAGATACTACAATGTAATAGAGCTAGTAGCATTCAAAAAAAAAAAAGTGCCTAATATAGTGTGCCATACTTAATTAGTAAATTAGTTATGAAAAATAATATATGTTGACAAAGTAATTAACGAATAACAATATGGCCCTGTTTGGTAAAATGGCTGTTAGCTGTTAGTTGATTGCGTTAATTAGAGGGTATAAATAGTTGATAATATTAGCTGATTGTAGAAAAGTGTTTGGTAAATTAGCTGTTAGCTGATAACTGTTTGGTATAATTTCTTTTCTCAAAAAAGCTAATTGAAAAAGTTGCTTGGGGTAGCTTTTTGAATTTTAGCATTTTGGAGTTGCAAAAAGCTAATTAACCAAACATTTATATTGATATTTTAACTAAATCAAACAATTAATAGTGGTCAAATAAGTCAAAATTGGCCTATAGGTCAATTTTTTACCAAACAGGGCCTATATCATAACCGACGTTTGGTTGGAATAAGGGAATTACGTGGGAAAAGAATTGTAATTCCATGGGAGATGAACTACGGAGAATAAAGTGAGAATTTAAATTCCAGTGTTTGGTTTACATGAATAAAATTACTGGGAATTTCAATTCCAATGTTTGGTAAACATGGGAATTGAAAGGTAATAACAGAGCGTTTGGTTGGAAGGGGGGAATTATGTGGTAAAGGAATTGAAATTCCATGGGAGATGAATTACTGAGAATAAAGTGTGAATTTAAATTCCAGTGTTTGGTTTACTGGAATAGAACTACTAGGAATTTCAATTCCAATGTTTGGTATACATGTGAATTGAAAGGGAATATAAGTAGTATAAAGTTCAAAATGTTCATTCTTGTTGTCAGACATCAATTTTAGGTTTAAAAATGAGAGGGTAATTTTGTCTCATCATTATCTTTTTTTCTTCCCAAGATCCATGGAATTAAAATCCCAAGGGGGGCATGGGATTTTAATTCCATGAAAATGAGGGAATTGTAATTCCGTGGAATTGCAATTCCTTCCAACCAAACTAAGGAATTTAGTAGCCTTTGGAATTATGTGGGAATTAAGCAATTGTTATGTTGTGAGCATGTGCTCACCTTGCATGGTGCGCACAAATCTATATCCATAATTTATATACTATAAATCCATAATTTCTATACTGTATATTCATAATTTCGAGACTCTTGGTGAACTAAAATTTATACTTTAGATTCATAATTTCTAACCACGAATATATATATCCATAATTTCTATACTGTAGATCCATAATTTTATACTGTATATTCATAATTTCGAGACTCTCGGTGAGCTAAAATTTATACTTTAGATTCATAATTTTAGCTCACCGAGAATCTAGAAATTTATGGATCTACAGTATATAAATTATTGATATACAGTATAGAAATTATGGATATAGATTCGTGTGCACCATGTACATGGTGAGCACATGCTCCCAGCATAATTTGTTGGAATTAAGTAGGAATGGAATTTAAATTCCCTCCAATCAAACGCTCTGTAAAGGAATAATTTATGTTGAAAAATTATTTTGTAGACTTGGATCCAAAATATACAATTTACATACTGAAATGTTCTCAATTTACATACTGAATGTTTACAATTTTATAAAAAGTAAATTGTGAACATTCAATATGGAAATTATGTATTTTGAATCTGAATCCATCTTGCAAGGTGCACCCTGATCCATGGTATAACAATTCGTCTACTATTTATACTCCATCAATTTTCAAGTTTTGCTTTTGAGCCTTATTTTAGTATGAATTTTTTTCCGCCTAAATTTTTGAACTCTACTTGATTATTTTTTCACACAAATTAATTGTTATTGTTGGGTTTGGATATAAGAAAATGGGAGGAAAAAGCAGGTAGTTATATATATATATATATATATATATATATATATATATATATATATATATAGGGTTGCATTCACATGAAAACACCATTAAAATACAAACATGTGGACATATACTGTGCACACACCTAAATGCGGGTGTGCACACGTCTGTTGACGACAGTGCACACACTTAAATGTGGGTGTGCACACATCTGTGGTATGTATGTGTGAATCCACAGTATTTGGGTCAGTGTGCACACGTCCATGAACGACCGTGCACACAGGCGGACACAACACACAAAAACATAAAAACTAATCACAACCTTAGATTCCAAAATCCAACGATCCAGAAATGTCCACACTTTTGTATTTTAAGTCATGTTTTTACATGAATGTAATTCTATATATATATATATATATATATATATATATATATATATATATATATATATATATATATATATATATAACGGAGTATATAATTTTATTCAAATTCATTTTTTTTTTTAAAATTAAGTTTGTGTCAATTTATTTTGTAGACTATAAAAATTAGTAAAGTTAAAGATGAAACTTAAAACTAATTACAAAAAGGAAAATGATATATGCACTTAAGAGATTAAAACTCACGCCATGTATCTTGATTTTGTTAGAGAAAGATACTAGATGTTCTCTCACACTCAAAATTTTGATGTAAACACTTTTACATGGGCTCATATGAAGAAAAAATAAGAGTTAATGACCGATTTAGTCCTCCGACTATTGCGAAACTACCAATTTGATCCTCGACTATCATTCTTATCCAATTAAGTCCTCAACTTTACAATTTTTACTCAATTTCGTCCTCCGTCTCTTTGGCTGTGAAATCTCCGTTTAAATGAAGGAGAATAACGTAAATACATAGCTATCGTGGTGGGGCCTGTCAAATGATCACTTTTTCGTTTCCCTTTCTTTCTTTTTGCTGATCTGCTCGTTCCCCTTCTCCTTCTTTTTCTTTCTTTCTCTTTCTCTTCTGTTTTCTTTCTTCTTTTTCATGTTTTCCCAGAAGCCATGAAGACGAGATCACATCACATCGTGTTGCCCTCGTCGGAAAGCCATACACAGTAGTCACTGCCACCAGCTTCTATAACTATAGTCATAGACAGAGCAGGAAAAATGCAGTAAGGAGCTTTCATAAATCCATGCCCGTGTTTGTTTGTATGTATGAATATATTTCGGAGTAATATATATTATTTCTCAAAGAGGATGACAGTTGTTGTTTATTCGGATGAAATCAAGCTGGCAAGGATAGCATTCTCGAACTCCAATGCCTAGCTCTCTGAAAATGCATATTTCATTCCCAACCCAGCGGCCAAATCCGACAGCTCCCGCAGAACCTCGACCACCGTTCTCGTACTTCTGTAACTTCGGTCGGCCGTTGTCGCTGACGAGGAGAAGTTCGGGCTGGATGATCTCAGAGGGGACTTTCCCCAACTGCCCCCCTCGTCCTATTCAAGAAAGGTATTAGTGAACTGCAACTGCAACTGCCCGCTTTTCTTGAGGGAAATCTCGTTGTCCGGCAGGTTTATCGACATCCACAGTTTCGACTTTCGACGATGATCCATAGATTTAGCACTGAGGTGAATATGAGTATCCTGTCTGAAATCATCGTTGCCCAAGTCGAAGCTGGCTGATTTCGTCACCTTGGGGACCACCGGCGCCATGGAGAAGAGCCCGACGTTGAACGGAGAATGGACGAGGGGGGCGGCTAGGGACTATCGATAAACCTGCCAGCGACTATCGATAAATCTTCCAGCGACTATCGCGTTGGGCACTCGGATGAACTGACGCTTCGTTCCTAGTTCCCAATTCACCATGGAGAAGAGGCCGACATTGAACGGAGAATGGGCGAGGGGGCGACCGGCGATTATCGATAAACATGCCGTCAACTATCGCCATGGCCACTCGGATGAATGGATGCTTCGTTCCCAGTTCCTAGTTCCCAGTTCGCCATGGAGAAGAGGCCGGAGATTTTTTAGGATTCCGACGGAGGCTTCACGAGCTGTAAACTGTAAAGTCTATTTACATTATTGTCCTTCATTTAGACGGAGACTTCACAGCCAAAGAGACGGAGGACGAAATTGAGTAAAAATTGTAAAGTTGAAGACTTAATTGGGTAAGGATGATAGTCGAGGATCAAATTGGTAGTTTCGCAATAGTCGGAGGACCAAATCGGTCATTAACTCAAAAAATAATCTATCAATGCCCGCCACATCAGAGAGTAAATTTGAAGGAGTAAAATTTGAGATTACATATAGTAAAATTCTAAAAATTGTGGCCCACAATTTTTTGAAGGAATCGAAGGGTGACATGTAAGTAGGGAAAAGAAAATAGAGTAGAATGTGGGAGTATATGTAGTAGTAGTAGTCAAACATGGGTGGTTGGATTTATTTTTATAATACCTAAAATTAAATTATTTTTTTTTTCATATTTAATTTATTTTAGTAATAATATAATTACGTAAATCAAATTACATATCGATTTTTTTAAAAAAAATTACAGACAAACGAGTCATATATTGTTCAATTAATTGAGTGATATTGCACTAATCTTATAATCAAATAAATATATACTTTCAAATATTAGAATTATTTATAATTTCATCTTTAATTTTATTATTTAAATATATAATATATACAAAAATTCCGTATATCGCACGAGTA